ATGTTGCATCTAATTACTCATATTTGTAAAAATTAAATATTTTTTTAAAAATGAAAACGAATAATGGGACCAATCTCTTTCAGTCTTCGCATGTGCTCTCCACGTGGCGATGAAATTCCTGATGGAATGGTTAAAAAATGACGATCGATAAAATGAATTCTTTCTAAGATTACTTCTAATAAACATTAGAAGCATGAGGCAGGTTATAACCATACAATACTAACACTACTTTACCATTACAAGATACTACTTTTCCTTTTTTTTCAATTTTACCGCTAACGAAATTTAAACAGCTTGCTTGCTGCGATGAAATTCTGTAAAGGACTAAATTACGTCACAGAATATAACGTCACTCATGTTAGGTAAATCTAAAACATGAAACACAATCCGTCAGTGGCCCCAGCGATAACTGAATTTAACTCTATTTACTTAAATTCCATTGATGTAAAGCAATTGCAAGTCTAGTAATACTAGCATCATGTGATTAATATTTTGTAATATAATTACAATCAAATACTTATAGTATGTATACGGAGTCTTCAGAATAAGATTTTTTGCTATCGGAATTCGGATTGATGTTGGAATACGTGGATGTTAGGTGTCACTTTTATACAAAACTATATTTGGGTATATGGAATGATGGAAACGGCAGGGTTAATCTGACCTCAATTTCATCGTTCATTGCTCAATGTTAGTTGTTTCTGGTTTGGTACTTTTCTCATTTGCTATCTTTAATATATCAACTGTATTTCGTACATGGAATTGTGATAAGTAAACATGGCTGCCTTATAGGGTTCATCTGATCTTGACCTCATTTTCATTTTTCTTTAGTCAATGTTTGATTTCCCTGGTTAATAGAAATAAGAAGCTGCGGTATTTGTGACAATGAGACAACTCTCCATGTAAGTCACAATTTGTAAAAAGTAAATAACTATAGATCAAAGTACGACCTTCAACACCGAGCCTTGTCTCACACCGAACAGCATGCTATAAAAGGTCCAAAATGACTAATGGAAAACCATTCAAATAAGAAAACCAACGGTCTAATCTATATAAAAAACGAGAAACGAGAAACACTTATGAAACACACCAGCAAACGACAACCACTGAACAACTGGTTCTTAACTTAGAGCAGGTAAAAAACAAATTCAGCAGGTTTAAACGTTTAATCAGGCGACAAACTTCACCCTAACCTAATACTGCAGTGTAACATGACAAAATAGAAAGACACACTATAAAATATCAATTGAAAAACCTTAACTCGATCAAACATACATATTTACAAAAACAAGTAAACATACACTGAACCAATAAATTTGATCTATGACACAATGTAATTACAATATCCTAAAAACGGGGAGGTAAAACAATTTCCAAAAGACAGCTATAAATTGGGACAAAACGGCATTAAATAAAATAACGTACACAGGTTAATTTAATATAATAATTTTGTTATTAGGAGTACGGTATTATTGTTTTCAAAATTAACAGATTTGTGGTTTATTTTACGAAAACAGAAGTGAAAATTATCGTTATACCCAATACTTACAAAAGGTGGTTTCTATTGACAATAGTGAAAGAGAAACAACACAAAATAAGTAAACATTGACTTTGATTTGTTTGATTTTTTATGTTTTAACATCACTTTTAATCACCGCTTTTTAGGCTATATTGCGGCGGCCAGTTTTTATTGATGGAGGAAGCCGGACTTCCAGGAGAAAACCACCGACCTTCGATAGGAAAGCTGACTATCCTAGTCAATTAAGATTGGAGTCCAGGGAACCTGCACAAGCGGGGTTCGAACTCACAACCTCATTGTTGACTGGCTGTGATTACAGTAGTAACTACTTAGACCACTCGGGCACCGATGCACTTGTATACATTGAATAACAACAATGCATTACAAATTGTGTCAAAAGGTCAAATTAACTCGAACATATAGTTTGAGAGAGAGTACTCTCTTAATAAAAAATCTTGATCAGAGAATAAAATCAATTAAAACAGATCCCAGGGATTTAGTGTTTTAAAGCCAAGGATAGTCAAAGAAGATATGACTTGTGCAATGCCAAAATATAAGTTTCGATAGATCTTAGATAGTAAGGATTTGTACAGGACCTTATAATTAATATGTATCATGTTATATATAGATAAAGCAATAATAACAAATAAACGTGGAATGTTTGTTTAAAGGTTCGATGAGTTTACACACATCACAGAGGGATTTTCGCGCTTCTAGTACAATATAACCGTAAAATTTAGGATGTCAAATACCGTTTTTAAAGGGGCACTAGCTGTCAAATTCATGTTCACCGATTTGACTCAAATTCTCATATTAGATTTATAACAATGTAAAATATGTATCTACATTATAAAAAGTCTAAAATAAACAATTTACAGGGCATGGGCATGATAATATGTAGCTGCGTTTTGTGTGTATTTTAGTTTACACGCCATCTAATTAGCTATCGAAGTTACCCCGAAAACAACCAACGGTCACATAACACGATATAAATATAAACATAAATATAAATAGATATATGGACCTCGTGCAAATGGATTTTTCTATGTCTGTTTGATTTCATTTTTAAGGTTAAAAAAATAAATGTATGTTCGATTTTACCTGTATAAGACTGTTTTTTGTGGATCGAATCAGTCAATCAAATGATTTACCTTTGTTTCACTTTCAGTGTTGACATTCTTTTGTTTTTATAGCCTAACACGCATCAATCATACATAATCCATCTCTAGCTAAGGGGTTAAATTGAAGTTCACATGAATACGGATTCCATGAGATCGAATTATTCACTTGCAAGTGAATAATTCATCATCGATGTTTTTTTTAGCTTATTTTGACAAAATTGAACCATACTGGCTGCTAATAGCGACTCGTTATTTCACTATTTCACTTTCATTAATGATTGAACAAAGAAAATTATATTTTAATTTTTCTATGTATCTCGTAGCTAGTGCCACTTTAATACGTTTAATAGGTGCAGCCAAATTTACTAATCAAATCATTGTATCTCTGAAAGAATTTATGACTTAATAATTTACCAGTGATGCATTGATTACATTCCTTAAAATATATGGAAGCACTATACACACTGGCATAACGAACACTTTGTGATATATAAACAACGTAGGATGGAGCCAAAGGAACATCGCCGTCTATAAAAGGAATTTTACAATAGAGATTGAAACATCGTCTCTTTTGTCCTAAATTTTAGAATGATGTTTCCATTTAGAAATTGAAATGTCTAAGTCTAGAAAAGTACAACTACTGCTGTATATGTTAGATATGTTTGATGTATTTAATGTATTGTTTTTGATAAAAGTCGGTAGTATATTTAGAGAACTCAGCATTTTTTAACGAAAAAATATCATCAAGATAACGGTAGGTATCGTTAAAAGTGTAAACAAAATGTAACAATGACGTGTCTTTACTGAGTTATAAATGTGATATTAAAGGGGCGCAATTAGTGCCCATAGGAATACCTAATGCCTATCGATACACTTTATTGCCGAAACGTACATATATGTTGTCCAGGAGAAAATTTAAAGCTTCAATCATAATTTCATATTTCCTATAAGTGCATCTAGCATATTTTTCTTTTTTTGTTATAGAAAAGGCTTTAAACGAGTTACAGCAAATGAATTTGCAATGAGATTTTTCAAAAGAACGTTTAAATTTAAATTTGATATCTTTTTCTTGATAAGATTATGTGGAAGTGAAGTCTAGTGTCGACAGAATTAAGAGGTCCATCAAAAGCACGTACTAAATCTAAAATCTCTAAAGCATTTTTAACACTTCAAAAATAAAAAAATACCATTATTGTCATAAACTTTATTACAAAAATTAATAACAAGTTCTTTTAAAGTAGTAAGGGAGGTAGTTAGAAGCACTGACAGATAAGTGGTAGGGCACTTACTAGATGCGGAGACGAAACGAAATTTAAATGGTTGTATCGGTTATTTAGGTAACCAGTATATAGTCGAGACTTTCAAATGTTCGGAAGGCGTTTTATACTGGGAAGTGGCAGTGATATGATTGTTTACAATTATACTCTCTGTGGAGCGTTACGTTTTAAAAAACTTCTGTGTAGTATATGCGACACTACATTATTGGCTGCTCTCTCTGCCGGTATGAACACAAACCGCTTTTGGAGTACTTGGAATATTATATTGTTTATTCTAGAAATGGGTTTAATATGAACCCTATTATTAATTTCAGAATGTTTTCAACATGAGATATACGAATATCAACTGTATTCATCATTGTATTCCAATAAGATTTTTGTCAGATTTTCCACGTTTACAACAATTTTTACAGTACGCCGACAGAGTGTCTTGTATGACCTGACGACACTTTTTCTAATTTATAACGGATGGACATGTCTGTTTCTTATACACTTTAAGAACAACGTCAACTTTATTGTGTGCATGGAATGAATGATCGTAAGGTCTGTCAGTCATATATCATCTGACCTTGACTTCATTTTCGCTGTTCATTAACTAATGTTAAGTTTTCATAGTTTGAAATGTTTCTTGAATACTATAAACAATAGGTTAACAATAGTTGATATATATAACGATTTTAAGGTATACAAGTCTGTCTGATATGGTTTATCTGACCTTGACAACATTGTCACGGATCCTTAAATATGTTAAGTTTATGTGATACTTGTAGTAAACCTTTATCGTTAAGACTTTGAAAATGAAATTAATCATGGTCATTAAAGCAGGTGAGACATTAAAGCCTGTGTATTCTTGTTAAATTTATTTGGATTTCAGACACTACAGAATTTGTTTTAGATCAAAACATCACAAAATTATCAAAAATATTCAGAAAAAAAATGGAAACTGGGTAGAAAACTTTCCAAATATGAAGAAACAACTCAATGAATAAAAAATTGCTTCAAACATCTACACATTTTTTGTTTGGGTATTTAAACTTTGATCATCATCTTAGTTATGTTAATGGCTAAACCTTTCATTTTCAGAAATACTTTTTCACTGTAACAGCTAAGACTTCAGCAGGGAATGAATGGAAATCGTCTGACGGTGTTACAATAGTTACAGAAAATGATCTTCTATCAGGAGTTTCAATTTTTGATGGAGAACCTTGTAATATGACTAGTAAGTTAATTTCAGCAGATCAACATTATGCCTAACAAAACATGTTCCCGTTGCTAACTTTTTCTTTTCCTTCTATTCATAAAAATACAGCTATAAAATATTTTGATTGAACTTGTTCAATTTTTTTTAGCTTTCCAAATTTCTATATTAATCAGAGATTTATTTAACGTCAACTCTAGTTAAGGAGGAGGTGCCGTCCTGATGAAAATTACAAACACATATATATATATTGGAAACTTATTAAACTTTTTCAAATCGATATAGGGAGGAATCTTGATAATATTCCTAAATAATCAGATATGACATTTATGAAAACAATATAAAACTTTTCAGTTCTATTATATATGTTTTCGTTGAAAAAACATTTGTAAGAAAAGTATGACAATAGAATAACCAAAATATACTGTTTGACATTTTTTATTTCAGATAAAATGTTAGAACATCATATGGAGGTCAGTATAATATAAACTCTCCTCCTCACAATCCAAATTAAGTGTTCTGCATCCTTTACAATGTATATTATCAATCTAGTGTGTTATTATAGTTATGTTTTTTTTATGTCTTTAGACAGCAATGCAAGTGATATTTCGACAATTTTATGAATTAATATGGTTAAAAAGAATCATTGATTTACTTTAAGTGTGATTTTTGAAATACTTGTAAGCTGAGTAAAGCAGGTTGTGGAGACAATTTCTAAAAATCTGACTCTAACATAAAAAATAACACGTATTCAGTTTGATGTTTTACTTGTTACTAACAAAATCTAAGGCAATTTCAACATTTAATTCAAGGTTATCATTGATATAACGCGTCCTTCTGTCTTCTCAAACCACATATATTTATGGAAAACAATTACATCATGTACTCATAAGACCAATAGTGAATTATGCAATTTTAAAGTGTACAACCTATAGTGAATTTCAATGACTGTATTACAGAGTAAACATTTTGCAACTTGTAAAACAAATCCTGTATGTCAGGTTTTGTTTTTGTGTTTTTATAGTAAATAGTTTTATTCTTCCTCAAAAATGTCATTTACGTGAGGGACATATTTTTGCCATTTGTCTTCATTCCCAAATGAACGAAACAAATCACCCTTAACCATTTTACAATTAGAGATTAAATTTCCTTACTTTAACTTCAGTAGATTGATAATTATACGTGCGATAACAAATTTCATGGAGTTCATTGCATTGGTATTGATGAACTACAAATTTAAATGGCCAATGAAATACAAATTTTTCTATAGGCTTATATGCAGACCTTTGGAAAACCACGAAAACAATATCATGGAACAAACTATTTGGTTCCCTTGAATCACGAAAATATGTTGATCCACAATAATTGAAATTACCAATACAACTTAACATTAAAAGTATTTGTATCCCTCTAGGACCACAGATTATATTGTTCAGATGATGTTGACATCCAGATGTCCACAAATTCATTAAAAGCTTACTGGACTATACCAGATACTATGAAGTCTTACACCACTGATGCATACATTGCTATAGAGAAGAGTGTCGGAAGTAAGTGTCATTTTTGACTTTTTATGTTTGAATATAATTTTTTAAAGCATAATAGTTATACTGTCTTTTTTATATCAGTCTAGCAGTTACAATGCACATTGCAATGTCGTAGTTTCGCCCCTTAATTTCAATCGTTAGTATAATGCTTGCATATTTTTTTATCTTTAAATTTTTTACATTTTTAAGAATTTGTTTTTTCAATTTATATAGACCACATACAATGTTTAAAAGGGAAGAAGTGCTTAAAAGCTGTGTTTCCGCAAATGGCGATATTTTGGGCAACTGTATGAGTTGTTATGATTTACTGTAGGCATTATTATAGGAAATTGATGATGTCAAAAAGTTCTTTAATATTTGATATTTGCATCAGAAACAAATATTTTGGTTTTCACTCATTTGTTAACTTTAACTCAATTTTCAGGAAAGATGTGCTGTTTATCAAACACATGCTTTAAAAATTAAAGAAATGCTTTTCATAATTGAGTTTCACTCTGCTAAAAGTTGGAATTGTTTGCATATATGATATCATTATATAAAAGACAGAATATGCAATCAAGCTGACATCTTTGAAAATATGAAATTCTTCGTCCTTGACCTTTGATGTTGATTTGACGAAGATTGCACCGTACGATTATTTTATGATCGGGAAAAACAGATAGTACAAATTTTTAGCTTTCGAACGATATATAATTGAGCCGTGTGTTAGTTTGGTGCATTAAAAATTTAATCCTATGGTTAAAGTCACTCCACTATTATTTTCTTTTCTTTTCTCCATGAAATTTAGTTTGTTGCATTAAACAAGACGATGGAGTTTGTTGCACATCAAATATTTTGTCAAATCGTTATAGAATTTTGTGAAACTTTGAAGTTTGTTGCAGTTAACATTTACAGCACGTTTGGGCTAAATTTGTTTTACATGATAGATATGTAAAACTTCATGAAATATTATCAAACGTGGACAGATATCATAAGTGAGACGCAGGGTTTCACAGAACCCTTTACAAAAGTTTTAATTTTAATGTTGTCAACCCTTAACAACAACTTTCTGCAGCTGCTTCTATTTTATTAAGTTCATTTGGATAAAAAGAATAGTTTGAAAAGAGTTTTAAGAGCCCTCCTTCTTGCTAAAATTAAATAATATTGCTTTAAACGAAATAACAAATATTTTTAGTTCTAATTTTAGATAAAAACAATGTATTTCTTGCAGACTATTGGAGTATTTTCCGTGATTTTCTCAAAATATCAACAGTATTGAAGATGAGCCTTGATGACTTAACTTTAAGCCCTGGTGTAAAGTATCGTGTTGTATTAAAGCTGTGTGCTAAAACCATCTGTTTCTCACATATCAGTACCGATGGTGTCACGGTGATTGCCAATCCTCCCGTTACAGGGGACGTAACTGTGGAACATTTTAATTCCACACAAACAAGTGGGGCTGAGAAGGTAAATATAAGTATGAAAGGAGATTTTGGGGTGTATGGCAATGAGACGGAAACACATTGTGGAAAACCTCGACAGACTTATAACACCACGTTGTTCAATTCATGACAGCTTTTTGTTTTTGTTTGTGTAGAGTTTTATTTCGCCTATGACAAAAGCCGCAGAATGTGAGACATTTGGATAACTATCCAGCGAATGTTGCGACAGCGTCAACTATTTGTAAAAAGCTTTAATTAGTTATCAAAGGTACAAGGCTTATAATTTTATAAGCCAGACGCGCGTTTCGTCTACGGAAGACTCATCAGTGACGCTCAGATCAAAATATTTATAAAGCCAAACAGGAACAATGTTGAAAGCAAAATTCCAAACAGTTGTGCCAAATACAGCTACGTTAATCTATGCCTGGGATAAGAAAATCCTTAGTATTTCGACAAATTCCTACTTTTGTAAACAGGAAATTTTAAACAATGACAAACTAATTGATATCCATATCAACACTGAAGTGCTGACTAGTGGGCTGGTGATGTCATATGTCCATATTGCTTGATCTCACTTTAATTGTTCAACATAGCTTGAAAAACTATAATGTTTTATTTATCATGTGAAATTTGCACTCATTGTTAGAAATAGGATAACCATAATTAGTGTCTGGTTCATCGCAAGGTCTACATCTCCGTCAGACATGGTTCACCTGACCTCATGCCTCATGTCATTGGTCACTGATAAAGGTTAAGTTTTCGTGGTTAGTTTCATATCTCAGATACTTTAAGCAATATGTCAACTATATTTGGTGTATGGAATGTTTGTAAATTGTACATGCCTGACTGTCAGGTTTCGTATGACCTTGACCTTTTTTATGGTTAATTGGTCATTGGTATTTTTTTTCATTTGGTCTAGTAGTCAGATAATTTAAGCAATCGAACCAATATATTTGGTGTATGAAATAATAGAAAGATGTAAATATTTTTCCGGAAGGTTTTATCTGACTATGACCTCATGTTCATAGTTCATTGGTCAATTTTAAGTTTTCATGGTTTTGTTGGTTCATCATATACTAAATATAAGTAATAGGTCAACAAATTTAAGCTACGATATGATTGCATGGTGGACATGTTGTCTGGCAGGGTTCATCTTTTCTTGACCTCATTTGTATGCTTCATTAATCCATTTTCAATTTTCTCTCACATTTGCTTACTCAAGTACTTTAATCTGTAAGCTTATAAAATCAATGTATGGTACAATTGTAAGGTGTTAATGAGTGTCGGCAGGGTTTATCTGAACTCAACCTTATTTACCTTGCTTATTGATAATGTTAAGTTTATATGATACTTGTAGTAAAACCTTTATGTCATAAAGTTTATATGATATTTGTAATAAAACCTTCATGTCATACACTTCCAACATAAATTTAATCGTTATAAATATAGCAGGTGAGTCATTTAGCTAAATCATTTTTTTGTTCATTCGTGTTTACTTTATTTCGTTAAAGATGAAACCAAAAAAACAACATATAATTTGTTACAAACATGAGACATAAATAACATCATGCACTATATAACAAGTGATTTTGGTGATCTTGCCAAAATTCTTTTACATAATATTTTCAGCTAATGGTGTCTTTTGCCCAGTTTTATGACCCAGATATTGAGGACATGACTGAAAAATATACTTTTGTTGATAAATATGAGTTTGCTATCACAGACAATTCTGTACAGGGAAAGATATACATGGTTTGGACCAAATTAGACTATACAGCAATTGGACATCAGGTAAAATTTAATGTCAATACCATTGTACCAAGTGAACACATAGGAATCATTGTGTTCCTCGTACATCATTTGTAGTGCTATTGTCCTCTAATATTTTAAGGAAATAAGATTTTGAGTATTGACCAACAACTCACCAACACAAATATAGTAAATATAAACATCTAGAGATTACTATACAGCCTTCAGTGATTAACATGACTAATACCAAAACAACAATCTAAGATCAAAATTCCCTAGAATTAGATATTATTCAATGGAATTTCATAGTTATTCAATATTTTTATCAATTATTTAAGGTATCCTTAATTCTAGATCAAACACGTGTGCTATTTTGAATTAAAAAAACAAAAAGAATATAGATCAAGTACGGTGCAGTCCAGTGTGTCCGCGCAACTAAGACTTCTGGCTCCGCTTGGGCTTGCTCATAAAACATATATTCGGATAATGTTTTTGTGAACAAATTCTAACATACTTTAGATTCACGAAAGCTTCTTTATGTATGACGTTACCCTTAATATTTTTTTTATATATGTGTCTCAAAATATAAAGATGTCCAGTGAGTTCGCGCATGCCTTCAAGAAATAGTTCATTCTGAATAAAAGAAAGATTTTACATCATTAAATGCTGTTCACTTAGTACCAGACAGACTACTTATGATGTGTCGCAAAAAATAACTAAATTTTGATAACTTTTACCATAAAATAAAACAATTTCAGTAAATGATGTCACAATTCTTTATTAACACATCAGTTTTGACAAAATGCGTAACATTTGAAATATCTCTTTTAAATCAACAAGAAACAACCAGTAACAAATGTCAAAATAAGAACACTTTAAACCATCAAAATGCTTTCATATTTAAGTACAAGAGGTTACACGTCTAAACACACTGCAGGCCAGAAACGTTCACTTTAAGACACTTTCTCCTTTTTATCACACAATTTAAGTGAACCTTCTCAATCATTTCCCATATTGAGCCCATTGCACTTCTAGATCTAAGCTGAACCCATCTGGCTGGCTCTTTCCACATATTATGCATGTTTGCGTTTCAACTGTTATTAGTTCAAAATATGAATAAGCCTCATTAAATGTCATTGTTTCCTCACGTCTACGCTCTTTCGCGGGATCTTTTCCCTTGTTTTTGTTTTCATTTGAGTTTATCTTTTTTTGTAACAACTTTTTAATTGGTCATTGCAGTAACTCGAGCTTTATCTTTGGCGTACGGGTTAATATATGCTTGTTTATTTGGAAAATTTTCTTCATTTATGGGAAATGTTTCAATTTTTTGCCTCAGTTTGACGTTCTCTTGATTTTTTTTCTACAAGCATCTGCCGGAATTTTTCAGCTCCAAAAGGATGAACAAAGGTTGATATATTGGGATTCGGCTTTAAGGCTTTAATGCTTCTTCTACTTTGCTTACTTTATTTCCAAACAAAACTTTAATTGATCTCATATCCATCCATTCCTTTCGTGTAAATATGATGGAAAGGACTGTGGCATTATGTATAGTGTGTGCTGGCCAGGATTTCTGTAGAACTTCTTCAGGGTTGTAAGGGAATATTCCACATATTATTTTCATGCATATGTTTTATGGAATTCAGAGTTGAGGCTCTTTTTGAATAGACTGAATACTGAGACATCTAATGGTTGTAACATTTGACTGCTATAGGGTGGAAGTACAAAGATGTGCACATCTGAAATCATTGCTGTTTTAATTATATCCATAGTGATGTGAGTTGCATGTCCATCATATAAAAGGATAAGAGGACGGTAAGTTACATGAACAAGACAATGGTTCTTGAAAAATTCTGAGAATATCGCAGTTGTCACCTCCCCATTTAGAGATTGTTGAATTTGGATCCTGATATTCCATAACTTACTTCTTTGTTAAGTGTTTGTCCTTTATAAATAATGTATGGTGGTATTAATTCATTCTATACTCTGAAAGACTAAAATATGAACATGTCAAAGTCTATTTATATAACATAGCGGATATGACGTAATGATCGATATTACCGGCTGCGCGGACAAAGGGGGTATCCATTGTATACAATTTATAAAAACATCCTCAAAACTGTAAACAAGGCTCTGCTATCTTTATGAGCTAAAATTCTAGAGGAAATTCCAATGTTAAAAGTCATAAATATTGGAGTAGCTCTCATTTTGTTTTGCACTTGTAATTAAGTTGTAGTTTAACATATATCTGGGTCTTTTTTTAAATTTCAACCAAATTCGTTTCCAAAATCTTGTTATAATTACCTTAGTAGCCCAGGAGAGTATAATGAGGGCCCTTTACTTCTTCTCCGTCCTGTCCTGGGGAAAAAAGGGGATATAAAATATCCAATCTGGTAAAGATACTGCTGATACTTGAGGGTGTACATGTTATTGTGGATTACCATAGCTGAAAATAAATATATGTCCTAAGTCAGGAGCCTGTTGATCAGCGGTTGTCGTTTGTTGGTATGGTTTCTAGATGTTTCTCGTTTCTCGTATTTTATATAGGTTAGACCATTTGTTTTCCTGCTTGAATGTTATTTCACTAGTCATTGTTGGGCCCTTTATAGCTTGCTTTTCGGTGTGAGCCAATGCTCCTCGTTCAAGGCCGTTCTTTGACCTATAATTGTTATCTTCTTATACGGCCTTACCTCACACCGAGCAGCTAGCTATAAACTTCCCCAAAATGACTAGCGTAAAACAATTCAAACAGGAAAATCAACGGTCTAATCTATATAAAAAAAACGAGAAACACTTATGACCCACATCAACAAACGACAACCACTGAACAATAGATTCCTAACATACGACAGGTGTCTTATGAAGAGTTGTCTCATTGGGAATCATACCACATTTTCTGTTTTATAAACAAATGAAGCGGGTTTAAACATTTTAACAGGCGCCAAACTTCACCCTTACCTGAAACAGTAGTATAACATTTAGTCAATACAACATAGAAAGACACATTATAAAATATCAATTGAAATGGCTTAACTCGATCTAAAAGAAATATTAACAAAATAAGTATAAATACAAGATGTAAAACAAGGTCAAAAAGACAATTTTAACCTGGGACAAAATGGCATTATAATTTTGTTGTAAGGAGTACGGAAATAGTTTTTTTACAAAATAAATTTGGTGTGAATTGTTCGAGAATTTATCGTAGTACTTAATATTTATCAAAGGTGAGACATATAAAAATAGTAAGACGAGAATAAATCGAAATAAGTAAACATTGAATAACAAAAATGTTTAATATCATATCCATACATTGTAATCAGTTGTATACCGAGTAAAAGTACATGCACACATTTATGGCAAAACTAAATTGATCTGAAAAATAATTTTATATAGTCCGAACTTATATTTTCATAAAATTAAATGTTAATTTTAGTTTCATTTTCAATTTCAGATTTCCTTTGAGTATGTTTTGAATGGTACAATGGATTTTTCTAGGTGTAAAAGATTTTCTATTAGAGGATACAACAAAGCCAAGCTGTACTCTACAGTGTCGACTGAAATAAAAGATTGTAGTGCATTTAACCCAATATTAATACAACCAAACATTGTAATAGATGCTGTAGGTGAACCGGATGCGACTGGTAAGCAGTTTCATGTATGTCTGTACAGCGCATTATCTTGCGTTTATCATGTTTATACCTAAACTAATACAAATGAAAACTAGTTAATGTCTATCTTATTCACTTCTGATACATACCAACAAAACACTGCCAGTTTGAGCCATCTTTATACATTTATAACGCTTCTGCATATGGCATGAATTTGCTCTTAGAACATAAATGGAGACAGATGGGAAGTCTTCTTTTATTCAAACTAGAACATACATGAACATTTTAAAGAAGATGGATAACTTAAATAAAGATACACCACTGTACGTTTGTTTCAACAATTTCTTTATAGACTCTCCTTACTGTTTAACACAATGCTAAATGTAAAGTTTTACATCGCGTATCAATGTTACATTGATACTGATTATTCAAGGAGAATTCATGGGAAACTTATGCTATTTTATACTTTGTGTATCATTTAAAAAAAATTTAGTTTAATCCAGCTTTGCATGTTTTTAAAAAGAAAAAATCTAATTTTGAAACGTTAAATTCATGAAAGATATTCTTTATAATCTATTTTTAAGAGCAAGTTATTATCAAGGTGTGTTGGTTAACCAGGCCTGTCTGTTCTTGAAACTAAAACCACATATATTATTTCAGCTGGAATTGGTAGACCTGTCTTTCTTGAGCAAAATGCATTGTGGACAGAAGCAGATAGAGATTACACCCCGTACAAAAATGTAATATCAGCTGTGTGGCCAACCTTACGGCATAAAAATTATGACTATGCCATTATAGAAGTCAGGGAAGTTGATGTGACTACATACTATCGTCAAGTAAATCAGTTACAATTGAAGATACCATGTGACCATCCAGATAGAATAAAATGTGGACATACAGGTAGAACATTATCTGCTCAATTATCAAACACGGTTTGAATTTCATTATAGTTTTATCTGGCTCTTTTAAAGCTTCCATTATATTAACTTCATTAATGAAAGGTTTTTCATAGTTCTGAGGGAGCAATCCAATATTTAGGTGGACTGATTTGCCATTGAGAGTAGTGCTATAATTATTCATATCTGCTATTAATTTGTATGAGAACACGTTATCAACCATTTTATATCCATACACCTCTGTATTCAAAAAGAAGGACCAAAGAAGCGACTGCTTACATAACGTAGAAATTGTTTGTTTCAAAGTTGAACTCATTAAATTAAGATGCAGCAAATCGTAGCTTTGCTTGATTTAAAATTGTCACGTTTTGATGATAATTTTTTTCTTCATTTGGTAATGAATCGATTTACAATAAAGTTTATTTGTATTATATAGTACTGAATGTATAATATGACGAGCATTGTGGCTATACGGGTTAAAATTGTTAGGTTGTTTTTTTTTGAAATTTTTCAAGATTCGCCTATTTATTATATTACAAAACCTAGATGCATATTTAGTTCCGTGCATCCTTATCAATATAGCGTAAATGAGTTGGATTTATTACCCTTGAATTGCATCAGTTAGTAAAAATCTCCTTGAAAAGTTAAAAATTATAAATATTTCAAGTAAACGACGATTTCAAAGAGAGGGGCGAAAGATACCAGAGGGACAGTCAAACTCATAGATTGAAAATAAACTGACAACGCCATAGCTAAAAAATAAAAAGACAAACAGACAAATAATAGAACACAAGACACAACATAGAAAACTATAGACTAAGCAACACGAACCCCACCAAAAAATGGGGGTGATCTCAGGTGCTCTGGACGGGTAAGCAGCAACACTATGCTAAAATATTTATGAACTACCTTAAAAAATTAATTGACTACAAAAATTGCGAGCATGCGTATATTAGTATTTTGATTTGGAACAACAAGGGAAGCTTTTATAGTACACATGATAAATTCTGAATATTTTCCTTTAGGAAATGGGTTCATGAATGTAGAGTTCACGAACAATGAGTTATTGCACGGCACTCGTTACACTGTATGTGTTCATGCTGATGCTACAAAGATCCAACATGAAACCTGGATAGAGGACTTGTCAGAGATTAACGAATGTAGCGATGGAATAATTGTAGACTTGACACCACCTGTAGCAGGCAGATTGTGGATTGGTACAAATCTAGGTCAGATTTATCAGGTACATGATATATCAGAGTCTGTTTGTGCCTCAGCCGTAACCGAGGGGGGCATTAGGTTTTACCCTTGTCCGTCTGTACGTCCGTCCTACCGTCCTTCCGTCCGTACTTGCCAACATTGGTTTTCCTACATGTACATGTACTCTAACTTATGTTTTCCTCAACCAAATCTAATGAAATTTATACATAATGCTTATAACCACAAAACACAAGAACCAAATTGAATTTTGGTGGCGTCACTTTTATCATTCTAAAGATATGTCCCTTTACAAAAGGAAAAATTGCTGAATTTTTCGTTTTCATTCACTAACTTTTGTTTGCGTCAACTTATACATGATGCTAATAACCACAAAACACAGATCCAGTTTGAATTTTGGTGCCGAATTATGTCCTTTTTCAAATAGCTGAATTTTTTGTTTTCATTCTCTTACTTTAGTTTTCCTCAACCAAATGTTATGAACCTTATACACAATGCATATAACCACAATACACAGATCAAGTATAAATTTTGGTGGCGTCACTTTTACCGTTCTAGAACATGTAGAATTATGCACCTTAACAAATGGGAAAATTACTGAATTTTTCGTTTCTGTTTTGTAACTTCAGTTTACATCAACCAAATGTTATGAAATTTATACACAATATCTATTATCACAAATATCAGATCAAGTACGAACTTGAGTAGCGCCACTTTTACCGTTCTTGAGTTATGTCATTTATAACGTTGTATGCAAGCGGTAGTATCATCTGTGTCACATTGACAAATTCCCCATTTTTTTATTAAATAGTTTAGGACTTAAACATGATTGTTCTGGATGTATGACCTCTACCAGAATCTGTAAAAATAGGTTTGATTAGAATATTTATCTTTGTAATATTCCTTAGAAGGAATTTACGTTTAATTGTATATAGCAATAATATTAATAGAGACTATCAACAAATATTTTCAGGGATGTGACAAGCTGTTTCTAAATGTCACTCTTAAGGGCTTAAAATAGCAATTAATGTGTTCAAATATTGGTAATCTGTTGATGATTGTTATATTTTAGTGAAACTTTTTCTCTCTTTGTATGTTAACAGAACTACTAAATAATTCTAATAAAAAACAGTTTCTGTGAGTTGTATTGTCTTCTTAGTACAATATTATAGTCTAAAAATGTGTCAATTACTAATCATGTGTAACCAAAAATGTCACATAAGGCATTTTAGAGAATTTTTGTGCTTATTAGGATCACATTCACCATAATAAGCAGATATTTTTTAAGACACCAAAGACGTATAAACTACAGAAAGTTGATTACTTTTTCCAGTGATATTTTGACTATTTGCGCTTTTTCATTCATTTCTGTTTTTATATCGCTCCTCATGCACGTAACCTTTAATAGGTCAACCAGAAAAATTACACTGTGGCGCACTTAATGACTAACAATGATTTTAGGAAACGAATTACTATAAGCTATGTACAGCTTGTTTCCGAATCCTATTTTGATTATGTATTTTGTATGATGATATATTTGTAATGATGACGAATAAATATGTTTAAGGTAGATGGGGTGTCAAAATTATAATCCATAGAATTTTTTAATAATTTGCCAAAATGTAGTTTATTTCATGCTTTTAAAAAAAAAATAATAAAAAGAATGGGTCACGGGGCTTATTTTCACGCTACAGGTTGTGCAAAATTGACAGATTTTGTATAGATTATGCATGGAAAACCCAATTTTCTGCCATAAAACGAAAACTACACCATAGAATTTTGAGATAAAATATGAGAAGATAGCTCTAATAGTATGCTTTCAGATAAGAAAACGTAAAAATGGGGTCACGGGACCCGTTTTCTTGCTACATAATAAAATAGGTAAATTCCTAACACATTCTATTGTAAAAGTAACTTTATCTGAATTATCTGCCCTTACATTTGAGTTGCCTCCCCTTATGTGGCAAAGTTGGAAAAAATAGAATCAAACAAAAGTATTCTGTTTTTGTGTAAAATACAACCATAAATATGATAAAATATGTCATTTTCTCTATTGAAATGAAAATTCTTACACATGAATTACCTACTACTCTCAAAATTTGCACCTTTTATTAAAGATCTAGACCGATTGTTTTCTTGTATTTCAAAATCCAAGATGGAGGAAGACACCCTATCTACCTTAAACTAATAATGATTTTTTTTAACCATGTTTTAGTTGGATTTTTTTCTGTATAGTTGTTTATATGAAAATAATAAAACGTGTAAAAATTTCTAATAATTCCAAAACTGCTGACATTGTTTTCATTTTTTAAATTTAGCTTACTCAATTTAAGCATGTTTTTCGAACAGCGGTATACTACTGTTGCCTTTATTTATTTGGTATATCTTTGTAAAAGTGAGTCTGATAAGCCATAAAAACGTAAGCTAATCAAGTGTTGCTTGACACAGTTATAAGGCTTTTTTTTAGAAACAAGCTTACAAGCTGCAATGTTTCGATTATGCAAAAATCAGATGTCAAAAGTAAGTTAAAAAGGTTTTGTGTTTTAATTACAACAAATTTACAAGTTTTATAATAGCTTGCTAAAACCTCATTTATAGTTATAATCAAATTATTCAATGGTAGGAGATAAATTACTGTATAAAAAAATTAAAAGAGATGAAGTTATCGACTCAAATATAGGGCGACGGAATGAAATTACAAATTGATAAAAATTATCATTCTAATATCAAATTGGCAAATTTAATTTAAAAAAATACCTGCAAGCATACATAGTAAAGTAATACATATCAAATCATTTTTGTTTTTATGCCAGCGACATTTCTGTGGTGAAACCGAGATATATTAATCTTAGATTACTTTGTTTTTGGACAACTAAGATTGTGATGAAGGCCATATGATATAGGTGGTTGACGCAACATTTGAATCATTTACTCAAAACAACTTTTCATTTGTATAGTAGTTTTCTTGTTTAAAGTAAGTATGACGAATGTCAATTGACTTTTGTTATGCTCTCAACATGTGATTTTACAGCCATTATGCAGGTGTCACTTTCATTTTTGTTCATTTTGGTTAATTTATAAGCTTTTGTATTGAAATGTCGGACGTTATCATCAAAATCATCAGCACAGTTTTGAAGGTTAAGGTATACATACTTTTTTGTTATTACATTGAAACATTGTTAAATTACAGACTACCACTACCAACTTGTATGTAAACTGGGATGGATTCCGTGATGTAGAAGAATATGGAGTAGGGCCTCATTCTACTGGTATTAAAGAATATATATTGGGTATTGGTAAGTGAGAGAAGTAAAAACGGTGCAAGATCTCAGATATCTATAACTAGCTATTAGTTAGCATCAGATTTAAGTCTGTGATTGGATCACAATTATCCGTGATTTGTTTGAAAAGTTCATATTCAAGTGCCTGTTTGAGTGTTCCATTGTGGTTTGAATTCTGTTTTCATTTTCTATATGTATGTTTAAAACTGTGCGTATTGCTATGTGTTTCTTTATTCTACATTGGCTAGAGGTATTGGAGGAGGGTTGAGATCTCACAAAACACGTTTAACCCCGCCGCATTTTTGCGCCGGGCCCAAGTCAGGAGCCTCTGGCCTTTGTTAGTTTTGTATGTTTTTTAATTAAATGTATTCATTTATATGTTTTGGAGTTTAGTGTGACGTCCATTTTCACTGAACTAGTACACAATTTTATTTAGGGGCCAGCTGAGGACCACCTCCGGATGCGGGATTTTCTCGCTGCGTTGAAGACCCATTGGTGGCCTTCAGCTGGTGTCTGCTCTTTGGTCGGGTTGTTGTCTCTTTGTCATATTCCCAATTTCCTTTCTCAATTTTAATAGTTAAGATTTTAGTTCATTTATATAATTTTAAGTTTAAAGAAATTCTATGTACAGGATTTATTTGTGTTTATACAGCTTTTATCTAGAAGAAAATCCCTACATGGTTAGAAAGTATATTATAATTACACCATTACAACTCAATCCCAATTTTATATTCTATTTTTAGAAATTAATTTGTGATGAAATAAACGTAAAAAATATGTTACTTTTTGTGGCCTTGATACATTCGTGTGACGCACAGTTCATAATTCTATTGTGAAGTACTGTCGTAAATTCATGGAAGGTATTCGTTGTTATTTTGTGATTTACATGTTGTAATGTACTATTATATTTTCATTATGTATTTCTCTGTCCTGAGTGTTCTTCCATTTATTTGTACTGAATTCCTGTTATGTAATATTGTCATTTCAGTAGTATTTGTAACATTGCCATATAAGCGGGAGGTTTGGTTAGCCATAAAACCTAGTTCAACCCACCATTTTTTCTTAAAATGTCCTGTACAGGAATATTGCAGTTGTAATCAGATAGTCTGTTTCTATGTGTGTTGGTGTTTGTTTTTAAAGCAGTTCGTTGTTTCTGCAATTCTTATAGTTGATGTGTTTTCCTCGGTTTTGGTTTGTGATCCGGATTTGTTTTCGCTTAATCGATTTATGACAATTGAACAGCGGTATACTATATATTTCATATCATATTAGGTCACTAGCACACTGTGTAACTTTTACTATTGATAGATTGTATACATATAAGGACGTTTTTATAAATAAGTGACAACTCTACGACAGATCAATCAATTGGAACACAAGTGAAGGTGATACACGACTGAAAACAAAATTTAAATTCATAACTACTCTTAATATCAGCACAACAATGTTAAATCTTCAAATTTGCGGAAACAAATTTTCTTCATCCCTCGCCGTGATTCGAACTCATGATATTGATTTGAGTGTTTGAGTGTTGGACACAGTGCAGGAAATGTTGTCTTGATATCTCAATAGCATGAGTTCGAACCCACGCAAGGTACGAACAAATATTTACAGATTTAAATAAGTACATTTAAACAAGTGACAATTTTGTTAACAAATTGCACTTTAATATTTTGTTGTTACAAATACTATTAGCACTATTTTTTGGTTTTAAAATGCTAAATTTGTATAATTTATAAGATTACGAAAGGCTTTAAAGACTTAAATTTTCGCCAAACAATATTCAGTTTGTATAATATATAATTTTCAGGCACAACTCCAGGTGGAAATGATGTCCATGCCTTTGAGAATATCGGAATAGTACAACATAAAGCTTTACCAAATCTTAACCTGCAGAATGGATACAAGTATTATGCAACATTGAAAGGTATAAAGCAAGATGTTTGAATCTTATTTTCATTTTTTCAATATTGCACCTGTTTAGTCGTTAGTAGAGGTATATGAATTTATTGACCTTAGAAACCAGTATTGCATGAGGTAATATGTCAAGATACCTAAATTCATTTTAGGGCATAAAATAAAGTAGCATTAACAGATAATAAAGCATTGCAATAAAAATATACATACGAATTTCACATTAGATATAGTTTCAAAAATCAAATGAGTTGCATCAATTAAAAAGCAAGAATGCTGTTAATTGAATCAGGTAAAATCTAATGTGGTCATAGATCTTTAGGCAAAATGACTAGTTGGATATCTATCAATAACAAGTTAGAAAAAAGTCGCAGTGTTTATGATAATGGTGTGAAACTCCTAGGAAAATTCAAAACCGAAAGTCCCTAATCGAATGGCAAAATCAAAAGCTCAAACACATCAAACGAATGGACAACAACTGTCATATTCCTGACTTGGTACACGCATTTTCTTATGTAGAAAATGGTGGATTAAACCTGGTTTTATAGCTAGCTAGCTCTAACTTTGAACAATAATATTCCATTATATTGACAACTATGTGTGAACAAAACAAACAGACATAATAGGTAAAAATGTCAAAAATAGTGGTTCAGCAGTCAACATTGTGTTATTATCTTAATCACTATAAAAACAAACAAATATATAAACAAAGATTTACCATAGCACAATAACACAATGACGGGATGTATAAGCACAGAGCCACGTCATATGTAAGAAAGACACACACAAAGGTATATAGACAAAGCATAATAGCAAAAATGAAAGACAAGAATACAGAAATTATCATAGAACAATACCACAATGACAGGATGCACGAGTGCAGAGCCACGTCATATGTGACAAAGAAACACAAAAATGCGTATAGACAAAGCACATTAGCAAAAATGAAAGACAAGAATACAAAAACATCATAGAGATATAGTGCAAATACCTGCTCAATAAAGTTGCCTCAAAAAACTGAACATATATAATTTAGTGCCTACAAATGAAATAAGATCTCCAGGATTAAAAATTCCTGTTGTCCGCATTTAGCTAATGAAAAGAAGCATACCTGGATCTTGTTTTTCTCAAACAAATAAATATAAAAGACAATTTAATACCCGTTCTGCGTTTTTGAAGAAACTATAGTTAATAGATTGAAACTTTTAACATCAAAATTGATCAGCAGAATAAGATCTACAAATAATTTAACAGGGCAGAAATTCAGTTGTCTCCTTATGGGGAATTGCTCTTGACAGATCCTTTTTATCCACTCTTGTGTTTTTATGGAAAGTATAGAAACTAAAGACAGACACAAAGAACAGCAGGACAAGATATTCTATTAAAGCAACATGGACAAAATTGTTCGTTGACTCATGGTGGGCGTTGTTTCTCTTGAATGATGATTTTTAACCATTTTCTGTTATTATTGTGTATACTATAGTATATGGTGAGAAACTGTAACAAGGTAAAATTATCAGCAGGACAAGATCTTAAGATCCGAATATTTGGTTAAATTTGTCTATTGACTCCTTATTGAAGTATTGTCCATAAAAGATACTTTTTACCCGTTTTTTTCTGCAGAAACTTAATTAGATTGAAGAAACTGCATGAAGCAAAATTTAAAAGCAGGACAATTTCTACAAATCAACCTGGCTTAAATTGACAGAAGATTTTTTAATAGAAGCTATTGCCCCTGAATGATTTTCGACCATTTTGTGTTGATTTGTAGGAAGTAAGCAATTTTCACTTTTGCCGTGTATCCATTTCCTGTTTACTGATAGTTTGAAATATAATGACACTTATTGTACAAAGACAATTTTTGTCAATGTTACTCGGCTCCTATTAAAGGGAATGGTTAAATATTTAGTCTGCAGCTTAATAGTGTTGAGTTGAAGCGTGTAAGCGACTTCTAGAACCTGATCATGACGTGAAGCCACTTCATGTTTGACAAGTTCTTACAACATTCATTGAACAAGACAAATGTTCGTGAAAGTTTTCCTAGGTTCAGTAAAAGGGAAAGTCTTGATTTATTTGGTATTTCTCTAAATTTTATAAAACAAAATGAGTTATACTTTAGATACAAATGCTTGTAAACAGGACAAAAGTATAAAGCTTCCTGCAAAGGTTTTTATTAATTATATGCTAAGAAACGATGTGTAAAATTTTCACTTTAGTAGTGTAATGTAGTAAACATATTTAAACAAATAATTTCTTTATTTGAATAAAGGTCAAATCTGCAGTTTTTTTTTCTAGGCTGTTTATTTAACACTGAGTAATAGGGAAACTACTTTAAAGATATTACCCCCCCCTTTTTTTTAATAGACCCTAATTGTAAGCACTAAGTTTGATATGAATGTCTAGGATTGATTAATCATATTGATGGGTTTGGTATTAAAAACCACATATGATTTGCTATGTTTTTCATAAATATCCTTTTCACCATTTTAGCTGTTGATTTTGCTAACAGAGAAAAACTCAAAGTTTCAGACCCAATAACCATTGAATATACTCCACCTGAGAGATCGGATAAACCAATCACTTTATCAAGTCGTCTTATCACATCAATTACAGAAATAAACCCGTGGTAAGTAACAATAATATAATTATTAGCCTAATACCTTTAATTTCTTTAAAGTCATGGTGTAGAGATGAAGTAAAAATAGGCGATTGCAGTGTTTTAAGTCTTTTAGATTGAAGAAGCAAATTGAAATCTGACCAACTCAAATTATTTTTGTTCATGCTTTTTTAGTGAATTTTGCTATAATTTTGTTAGAATAAGTTCTGGCCATATACTTCCACGTCTGGTTTAGGCAAGGTTATCTATTTCTGTAAAATATTTATTCATTCAACTACTTTTACGTCATATATTACACACAACTTAAAAATGTGATCATCCTTTTTATGAAGAGTTCTCTAGATCACAAAGAAGATCAATTTCAATACCACAAAGAAATGGTTTTACGTAAGTCATATTTTAAAATGGAAAGGAGTTTCACTATCTTGGAGTATGATATAGAGTATCACATGTGGTCAGACAGATCAGATCCAGGATATTGTATAATTTTTTTACAGTTGGAAAGGAGTATTTATTGACCTTGAATCGGGTATAGATTATTACCTGTGGTCAGTTGGATCAGAGCCTGGCTATACAGATATGATGTTATACATTAAGGTTGTTGATAGGGAATGTGGAATTATAGACAAGAATAATCCCTTAATACTTCAGGATGGTCATTATTATTATATTAATGTCATGGTGAGTATTGAGTTATAGAACGGATTATTAGCATTTTTAAACAATACCATGAATGAGGGGAGGATTCTTAAAACTGGTAATAGAAAAATAGGGACATTACAAATAAAGAGGAACAGATGAGGAAAAAGGAATAACAAACATATCGAACTCCAAGGCAAATTTAAAAAGGGGAAGTCCACAAAAACTGATAAAATCAAACGCTATCAATCAACGGAACATGTGAAAACTGTCATATTTTTGTCTTGTTACTGGCATTTTCCGAGGAAAATTGTAGGTTAAACTTGGTTTAATAGCTAGCTAAACCTTCCACTTGTATGACAGTAATCTACAGTTCCGTTTTTTTTTTACACAATTTGGTGAGAAAAAAGAAAAAGTGGCTAATAAGACATAGGGAGAAAGGGAAGATAGAAATAAGAGGTTAAAAATGTTTACAATTATCTATTGTTTTATCATTTTGTATGCACATGATGAATTTGTTATCTTTGTTTCCCAAAAAATTGCTTGATTTGTCTTATATTTTATTTCCTTTTAAGAGTAAAGCTGTTGATTGTAATGAATTACATTTCACATGATGAATCCTTTACGAACAAATTTGAGATGATGCTAAGTATGCAATTCAAGTTTTGAATTCATATTAAATTTTAATATTTAAACCTAGAGAAAAAGTATTGAGCTGCGTGATTATATTAATTGTTTTGTTTATTGTTTATTTAGGCATTCAACAAGGCAGGATTATCATCATTGGCGACATCCTGGGCTTTCCAAGTGGACACAACGCCACCTACACCTGGTCAGGTATACGATGGAGATAAACGTCAGCTGACAGGAAGTGTTAAAGACATTGACTACCAGACAGAGACCAAAGTTCTATATGCTTACTGGGAAGGTTTCCATGAATCCCACTCCACAATTAAAGATTACTATGTCTCTGTAGGAACGTGTCCAAGCTGTGAGGATGTTTTACAGCAACAGGCAATTGGAATTACATATGGTTTGTACTCAGTGGATCCCACTTCCTCATTTAAGATTATTATTTCTTAAATTCTGAGACGATAAGCAGTTGATTGGCAATTTTATCAACAACATGTGTTTCAGTTCATATCAGTTGTTCATTGGTCAAAATTCGTTAAGTTACTTAAATTTTCTTGCCTTTCTATGAATATGCTCTTTTTAAGTCCCGACAAGGGACACATGCATGATGACGCGACATGAAAAGAATACACCCTTTTTGTATATCATTAAAAAGGAATGATAGGTTTGCTTACATATCTTTTAAAACTCATCAATAATCTTCTGTTAGCCTCGCGTTTTTAATTTAAAATTTAGATGTCTCGTGTAAGTGGACAAATGCTGTTAGCGTTAGCATCTATATATGTTCTTATGAATCTGTCAACAGTGTAAATATGTTTTTAAGGAAAAGGTTTGCAAAAACAAATGTTATGTATTGATCTCAATGAGTATAATATGTCTGGAGAACATCAGTTTCCACATACCTCTTATACATTTATATCGTGTTATTTCCAAAATTACATTAGAAAACATCTGCCTTTTTGTTGGACTGAGAAATTATGTCACAGTAGTGACATCTTACACTGCGGACATGTATTACCAATGTATCTGTACCAAGTCAGGAATACGCCAGTTGTTATCCATTCGTTTGATGTGTTTGGGCTTTTGATTTTACCATTTGATTAGGGACTTTCCGTTTTGGATTTTTCTCGGAGTTCATTATTTTTGTGATTTGCATATCTATTTATTATTTCAGAATTCACATTAGAAAACATCCACCTCGGCACAGGACTGAAATATTACACTGCAGTGACTGGATGTAACACAGCAGACATGTGTACAACAGTGACATCAGATGGTGTGATTATAGACAATAGTCCGCCAACAGCAGGGGTAGTCCAAGATGGAACTGGCTTCTATGATACATCATATCAATCTATGATGTAAGTCTTTATCAGAAATCCTTTTATAATGAAACATTTGTTATTCCCAAGCTAGGCAAATGTACATAGTCTTAATCTGGTCAGCTATTTCTTATTGTCATTATCAAAAAATAGTTGTCATCATATTGTTTTTCATGCTTTCAGATGTTAACTTGTTTATTGGTATATGGTAAAATGGAGAGTTACAGTATATATTTCATTTAATAAGGGCCTGATAGGTGGTACTTATAATTTTGTAATAAAACATTTAATTTTCATTTCATTAACTTAACTTGTAATTTTTCTTTCCAGTCATGCCCTGCTTAAGTGAAGGGGGCATACAATTTTAGCCTTGCGCATCTGTACGTAGGTCTCGAATTTGCTAATCATACTAAACACAGATCAAGTCAAAGGTTTGATTGCGTTAATTACATAATTCTTCAGAAATGTCCCTAAATTAATGGAAAAATGTTCTTTCCCGCTACCGAATGTTATGAAACTTATATACAATGCTTATTACCACCAAACACATATGAATTTCTTGCGTTATATCCTTTTTTTAAATGGAAGAGAATGGCGCATTTGCCGTTTTAACACACTAATTTTACTATGCCTCAAGCAAATGGTGTTGGACCAATACATAATGCCCTACCACCACAAACAGATGATAAAATCTAGCCTTAGCAGCAATATACCAACTTCATCTGCGTATTGGGTATACATTTTTCAACTTAAACGATATCCAAGAGCTTGCAGAATTTTTTAAACGTCACCGTTGTCTCAGCAAAAAATCAATGTGCCAGGGTCAAATAACATCTCGTCCTTTTTTCTTAGAAAAACATATCGGAAAGTACCAATACGTAATAGCTAAATATTTTAGTGTTTACTACACGATTGATACAAGATGGTCTTGAGTTTTAGATTCTGGGTGCTGAAGTTGTATGTTTCTTTTTTACGTTACAGTTTTCCATATGTTTGTCTTCATGCTATTGTATTTATTTTTGTCTTGATGTGACTCAGTATTTATGAATCCAGCCATCGGGTTTGTGACTTTGGGTGATCCTTGTGCAGAAAGGTCCTAATGAGCGATTCAGACGTAAATAAGCGGTATGTACAATCAACAACGAACACTTTTTAATCGCCGTCATCGTCAATAAACTATTAACAAGAATAACTGTTTTGTCGACTTCTTTATCATGTGTACTATAGACAACACCATATTTACTGTTGGCGTCTTTATTAGGTTTATTTGTATGTGTTTTTAGTTTTTTAGTCAGTGTTGATGCATGTTTACACAATTATTGTCACATTTATCTATTATGACTGTTTGCGTTGCTTGCCCAATTTTGTCAACATAACAGAACATTAAAGAACTGTCATTTAGGTAGAAGGTTTATCAAGCAATAAAACTAGGTTTAACTAATCTTTTTTTTTCGGAAAATGCATGTACCAATATAAGTAATATGATAGTTATTTTGCACTCGTCCCGTTGAGATATAACGTTTGATTTTGTCTGGTTTTATGGACTTCTTATTTTTGAATTTACCTTGGAGTTTAGAACTTTTGTTTTACTTTTTTTTAGAGAAACATTGTTATTTTAGATAAACATTGATATCAAAAAGAATCACTCATACCCTGAAACAAATAATTAATGTGGCTAAAAAGATAAAAGATCTTCCATTCCGTTGATTATGACTTTAAATAAACTGTTTAAGCAAAAGTAAATTTTATAGAAGATTGTATTGAACAAATAAACTTATGTAAATTTTTATCTTTTGATTTATTTTATAAAGATTGAATACCTGGTTTATAAGTTCCCTATCAGACACTTTTCAACTGTGAAATATACTTTTTCAACTAATTTGGGGAGGAAAAAACTCACTAACGTAAACATGTGTAGTAAATTATAGCTGGGTCCACATGTAGTCTTGTTTTCATCAGTATGCTGTATCACCAATGTCATATAAACAGTAACATGTAAAGTAATCTTACATATTCTGTTACCCATCAATGTATGTTTGACATACTAAAACAAAGTAATGTTGATAGATAAGTTGGTTAAAAGGGTAGTTGAGATGTTCTTAAAGTAATGAATAAAAATTGTTAAGATTTTCAAGCAAGACTCTTGTCCTCTCTCTTTGGACATTTACCTATATATCAGGACTTCATATCTCAGAAACCGGCTATATATGCCCTCAATTGTAGAATTCATTCACACATTTTTGTATTGATCAAAATTATCAGTAAACTGTGTTTTCACAAGGATCAACAGTCTTTCACTTTGCATTTAATACATTCATTATTAAAATATATGCTACATAGTTAAAGATCTACCCATTTGCATAGGAACTATTTTGTTTTAAATATGTACTATTTTCCAGTATGTTCATTTCTGACTGGGCCCGATTGGGTTGTGTTACATCTGACAAAGTCTATCCAAATTATTTTTGATTATTGAAATTAATCTACTTTACAGAATCTACTTGTCAGCCAAATGGTACGGGTTTGATGACCCCCAATCTGGTCTACAGAAGTATGTATGGAGGGCAGGACTAAAACCGGGTTATGGTGACATAGTATCACCTATAGAGCTCCATCTGACAGAAACTGCGACTTTACTGAACTCTACCAATAACAACCTTGACCTTCCTGTGAACAAGAGGATCTTTGTAACTGTCAGAGCATATAATAAAGCTGGTATGTACACAATATTGTATTATACAGACATTCTAAAATTCAAACTGACCAGACGAATCATACACGCAAGGACGATACACATACGGAGAAAGGACGGAGAATGCAAGATGAATGCATTTTAAATGATGCACTCACGATGAGCTTTGTGCGTTACACAGAGGATTAACGCATAATGAGTGGTGAGCATTACACGATGAATGCGAGATGTGTGATGAGCGTTACGAGGATAATGAACGACAGATATATGCAAGTACACGGTGATTAATTAACATACAAAAACTAGAATGATAACGATATAACAAAACCTTTTAAATTAGGTGTCCAGTTAGAGAGCCATTTAAAGCGGCGATTCGAATTATATCACAAGGTAGCAACACGCGATCATGGTACGTACATGTGATCGATATCCATTTTTGCTTGATAAAGTTTTAGAATTTTGTGTATTCTTAATCATTATTAGGGGGAGAACATTCAACATGATGTAAATATGAACAAAGACGCATATGTTCAGATAAAGATTTTTTTTCTTCTTTATGCGACAGTATCCCCAGGCGTCAATACCGAATTTATACGAGTGTAAATGTCTGCAACATTCATTACATTATTTAACTAAGCGTTCCGCATTCCCTTCACATTTCTAAATTTATCGTCATTATAAAATCAAGAAGAAAATTTCAAATGTAAAGACAAAACAAATAATTACCTTTTTTAAGCTACATAAATAAAGCCAAAACGATCCTTAGTGAAGGATAACACGAGAGCTAATAGTTCCCCTTTTGTTATGTTGACAAACATTGAAAACTACACGTTATTAGTTTCATGCGTCCGAACCTCTTTTCTGGATTTGTAACAAATTTGAAAACGTAACGCACTGTATTTGATGGATGAATTCTGTATTCTGATTTAATCTCCCTAATGAAAGCTCGGATGAAAATGAATTCGAATGATTTAAAATCAAAGGTTATACACGAACAGGCAAAAGTTTTCTCCATGTCATTGGTGATTGAGTTGCAAAACATATAGTTTGACTATTGTCGTTTTGAATTCGCAAATTATACACAGCTCTGCAGCAAGCAAACACTATTAAATCTTATTCATAATATGAGTCGCATTTCAGGACGAGAACATGTTTTACGATACACACTGATAGTGTGCGTATCACTAGATCAAATTGATAAAATGGGTTTTTAATTCGATATTTGCATACGAAATTCAATGCACTATTTGTATTCATCAATATAACTATTATTTCCGTTAAAAATGAAAAAAATAAATCGGATAAAAATCTAACTTTTTTTTTCGTATGAGACAATATATATCCTATTGGTGTCAAATCTCTTCTATGGATTTGTAAACTACAAAAAACATCCTCAGTTACGGGACAAAAAATACCCCCATGGAACAAATATTCCATAATTTTTAACCGGATTTTCGAAATAAAAATCGGTTATTGATTTGGGGATGTTCGGCGAACGAGCGGTCAGCTGCCAAACAATGTCCGTTCATTTTAAAGAAGACATTTTTGTTGAATAAACTGAATGTGACTTTTTTCCTTTGTAAAACTGGTTATTTAAAGCATTCTTGTCAAGTTTTTTCATAATCAGTTCAATAGTTTGAGAAAAATCTAGTATAATGTAAGACGCTACAGCGCTCTGAGCAAAATTTCTTCGAAAAATCCAAACCAAGCCGCGTCATGATAGAATATAGTATGGACCAATAAATGATCAAATATTTATCTCATCTGCCCACAAACAGTTGAAAGTGATACAACAGATGACTTTAGGATGATAAATACCACTAATTGACCTCTTTGTCTTCTTTATAAGGTCTCTTCTGGTCCATTTATACCTCTCATTTCCTCAAAATTTCAAATTTTCACGCCAATTAATACAAATTATGGGGTAACTTTCACTCATTTATGATAGAAATGTTATAATGAATGAGTAATTGAAGTATTCAAGCAGAATGAATAATCCATATAAAAGTTTACTGTCTCCAAGGAGGTTTCAATAAGTCCTTATGTAAAACTTAAATTTACGCTGCGTTCCAGAGAGGGACATAAAAAGCTTCTCTTTTAGTGAATAATTTATTGTTACTGCTTTAAAAATAATTTCTTTACTTATAACTATATATTTATTAAAGTATTTCTTTGGTAAAATTTTCTATTATAGCAGAAAATAAAAAATAAGGAGAAAAAGCTCCCAAAAACACTAAGTTTGGCTTGTTCTGTCAATTTATATTCTGGTAGAGTCCTATTTCAAGGAAATTTTCTGATCAAATGTGTTTTGGAGACTCAATCCACTCAGAATATTTCATTTTAAGTAATATTTCACTTAAAGAGCAAAAAATTTTAACACATGAGAGTACTCACAAGGTCAAAGGTGCTTCCCATATTAGGTGTAATACCACCATTGATTTTCACCTATTAGTCTTTGTTAAATTTGCACTTTTCAAAAAATTATGGAGGAATTATCTTTGTTACAAATAAAGAAATACTTTGCATGAGTGAAGTTTTATCCTGTCCAGTACTAATGAAATAGATTTACATAACATTTCATTGCATATAAGAAAAAAAACCATCAGTTGAAGTTAACCAATCAAATTTTCCCCCTTATTTAACCTGTGTACAAGCTTTAGTAACCATGTAACCTCAATTTTCCAAAATATTCTATAGAAACCCAAAATAAAAAGATAATGGTGCTTTGAAATACCCAACATATATGTTTATGACCCAAAAATGTTTTACTGCAATAAAATGTAGAATTAATTACCTAGAACTGTCAAATTCAAGGGAATATTTTTTTCGACCTATTTTCGTATGCAACCGGATGTGACGTACCATGATTTGGTGGTATTACACCTTGAAGACATTTTTTTTTCAAATTTAGATATGCTGTTGCCTGTGACTGAATGAAGGTCAAGTTCAATTTTCACGATTTTAGCTTTTTTCGTTCAGTTAAAGTCCTTTCTCAAGAATTTTTTGATTAATTAATCCACTTCTGTACAAAGGGAAATAACTCATTTTAAAAAAAGATTTTTAAAAGACATTATATTAACGATAAATGACATTTTGGATTTTTTTCTTTGGTAAATTGTTTGAAGAATTTTGTGGTAGGTTTGTAGGTTTTTACATGATCCTGTATTAACTATTTTTCTGAATACTATATATATATATAAATAAAATATGAAGTGAACTCCTATAGTTAGATAATAATCTATTTTTTATAGGATATATTTCATTACATTTAAAGTTGTTGACATAAACAGATACGTTGAAGATCTGTATTAGTTTGTGACAAACGACAGAAAAAATACTTTAAATATAATTGATTATAATTTGAAAATAGATATGCATTGTATTACATCATATCTAATTTTAGAGAACTATTAATCATATTTAATATTAGAGTACTATGTTAAACCATATTTCTGTTCAAAGGGAAATAACTCAAACTTATTCCATGAACCAGTATGATAAAATCAAAATTTCTTTTTAACTGTTTTTTTTTTAAGTCATGTGTGTTATGAAGGGAGATATCACAGTTGTTATGTGGTATTTTATTTTTGTTGTGTGGGTTAATGTTTAATTTTTACAAGATCCTGTTTGGGATTCAGACTTGCAAGTTTTTTCATTATTAATTAGATAATAATCTATTTTAGATATTCAACCACAATTAAAATTCAGAGCTGTTTTAAGCTTAACTGTTGTGTCCATGCATGCTAAAATGTTCAGGGTTCGACCTCTGCAGGAACATCCGTATTCAAGTATATATTTGTCTGATCTTATATTAATTTATTTAAAAGGTGCCTTCAAATACATCTAATGTTTATTTCTTTAATTTGCCACAAGCTTGTTAAGCTTATTTAAAATGAAAAAAAAAAAGATCAGAGAATGAAAATATTGTTGAAGAGGAAATAATAATCCGTGTTAAATTGGGCGTTATCTATTTGCGCTTAAAATGAAATCATTTGCACCACTCTTTATTTGCGCCAAAGCTACACCAACACCACTTCATTTTAAAGTATCATTTTCGCCAATAAAAAATTATTTTAATACAACACATATGCTGAATTTAAACTCATATATATATATATATATATATATATATATATATATAAACGCCTAAAAAGTGTACACAACAACACCAATAACAAAAAAAGGAACTATAAATGTATATAGAAGTCTATAAAAAGGACCAACCAGCAAATTTACTATGTACCGGATCGTCTAGAATAGACGATACTGTGCAGATAAGGAAAAAATATATAAGTCCAAAAATTTGCACAACGATACTAATATAAGATGGTATTATACGAAGATGTTGTTATTACTGATCTATTTTTAACGTACAATCAGTATTGTTAAAATTATTGACACCGACGAAGGCTATTTGTTAAGCCAAAATATTTGTCAACACGATTTAATAACAACATCTTCGTATAATACCATCTTACATTAGTATCGTTGTGCAAAATTTTTAGACTTATAGCAGGGTTTAAGAACATTTGTTGTTCGACCTGTTAGTCAAATGCGTTTTGTTAAAATATACTTTTTCACTTTTTTGGTCTTTTGGAAAATGTTGTTTGTGCTGTATTTAGACCCCTCTAACAAGAAATTTGTTTTGCATTCACATGTGTAAAAATTGCGGTTTTTATCCAACGCAATCATAGGTTTGAACGTTGTTTTCAATTTAGACTTGTTTATATTTTTTCGTTTGGGCTTGTATTATATTTGCCTTCGGGTTTATATGCTCCGTTAATCCTATTTTGACTCCTCAAAATTCAAGAGTCTATCAACACTGGACACTTTTAATTTGCAAAACACTCATTTGCAAATCCGCTGCCGCCTTTCCTTAGAGCTACAGTGTCGTGTATATAACCAAAATTTGCGGAATTACATGGGATTCAATAAATTCATTGCTTTTCTGCTGTTATTATTATATATATTTTGTAATTTGATTTAGAAAAACATGAGATTTTCAATATCCCATGGGATAGGG